AATAAAAATTTAATTTAAAAAAAGTAAAATTTTCTATATATGACTATCTATATATGAAGAAATACATTTAGATAAAAAACTGTATTTATGTGCAAATATTTAAAAAAATAAAAAAATAAGAATGTAATTTAAAAAATGTAATATGATCTATATATGAACAAATACTTTAGAAAATATTTTGAAAAATTAAATTTAGACATAAAAATTGTATTTATGTGCAAATACTTTTTTCAAAATGAATAAATTAAAATATAAGAAATATGCATATATATCTGGCAGGGTTCCTTCCATCCCTGAGGCGCCTGTTCCTTTGTGGGAGCATAAATAAATTAAATAAAAATAAAATTGAAAAATATAAAAAGATCTATATATGAGCAAATACTTTAGAAAATATTTTTTTAATTTAGATATAAAAATTGTATTTATGTGCAAATATTTTAAAAATAAATAAATAAAAATTTAATTTAAAAAATGTTAAACTATGTATATATGACTATCTATATATGAAGAAATACTTACATTTAGATATAAAATTTGTATTTATGTGCAAATATTTTAAAAATAAATGAATAAAAATTTAATTTAAAAAAAGTAAAATTTTCTATATATGACTATCTATATATGAAGAAATACATTTAGATAAAAAACTGTATTTATGTGCAAATATTTAAAAAAATAAAAAAATAAGAATGTAATTTAAAAAATGTAATATGATCTATATATGAACAAATACTTTAGAAAATATTTTGAAAAATTAAATTTAGACATAAAAATTGTATTTATGTGCAAATACTTTTTTCAAAATGAATAAATTAAAATATAAGAAATATGCATATATATCTGGCAGGGTTCCTTCCATCCCTGAGGCGCCTGTTCCTTTGTGGGAGCATAAATAAATTAAATAAAAATAAAATTGAAAAATATAAAAAGATCTATATATGAGCAAATACTTTAGAAAATATTTTTTTAATTTAGATATAAAAATTGTATTTATGTGCAAATATTTTAAAAATAAATAAATAAAAATTTAATTTAAAAAA